ATCAGCATTTTCTAATGATAATTCTGGAAAAGTGGACTGTGATCTGATAGTTCATTGGATAAAAAGGGGTGTGCACTGACGTATCTGAACAGTGAGTTACTTGCTACTGCAGCACTGTTTTCTCTCTTGTATTGTTTTCTTCAGCTGTTGCAATTGTTATGCTTGAGATTATTTAGTAAAGCTTATAGTTTCTCCATTGAAAGAATAAAAGGGTTATTCTGTCTGTAATTGATGGCTGATGACTTTAGCTACATTCCACATTATCATTTTAATAAATTCTATTTTTACAAATCATATCTTTGCTTTCTACTTGAACTTAAAGTAAATGTTCATTTAGCATGACCTTGCACTGTGCACTACTGCACAAGAAATTTTTATTAAAGTGAATACTAGAAAGTAAACAGAATACAAAATTTTCTTCCATCAAATTTTATTAGATAATTTTTACATTGTAATTTACTCTTTCCCAGCATTGTTTTATGGTCTTTAGACAGTTTAAATCTAAAATTTAAATTTGGATTGTGAATATAACAAGTACAGTATATGTATTATTGTACTTTATTTAATTTTAAGAAAAGTCTACTGTAGTTTTTTGTTATTTGTATGATTAACCAAGTATGCTTTTTCAGATATAGAAAATTGACATATGATGTTTTAAGTTCTGTTCATAAGATGGAAGAAAGTCTTAAGAGACTGAAGCGTGCAAGGGACAGGGGAGCTCAAGGTGGTGCTGAAGTTAGTGGTGGTCTTTCTGATGATGACAAGATTCGCATTCAGATCTGTCTAGATGTGGAATACTTTGGAAGTCAGGTTAGCAATTAGTTTTTATGTTGCCCAATCCTAGGCACCTAACAGTGTTATTGTTTTCATCAGTTAGTTTCCAAATACCATAACAAACTCCCTTAACTCTTAGAGGGTCTAGACCCCTATCTGAAAATTCCTCACAGGATTCAAGAATTTAAGAAAAAATATTATTTTTTCTTATGAAATGGTAGAGAATCTTTTTCTGAAGGTAATAAAACAAAAAGTACGAAATTTTGTAAAAAATTGACGAAATTACGCTCTTGCGAATTTTGCTGTGTCAGTGATATTTACGCATTGGCGATTTTGCCCGGTTTGAGTCCTACTTTTGGCCAATTACATTGTTCCATTAGACCAAATTCTTAGTTATTTCACTAGTATGTATTCCATTTTATCTATTGAGCACAAGAAATCACCCAATCAATTATTTCAACTACCCAGTAAAGTGATTGGAAATTGGTAATTTGACCAATTTCACACAAAGTTCAAAATATTTAAATTTCAAAATAGGGTTCAGAATAAACAGTGCAGGCATTTCTGGTACTAAAATAACATTTCCTCTATTTATTAGTTACTTTTCCAGGCTTTACACAAGAATTTCATTTTGACTTTTTTTTTTTTCACAAAGAATTTTTATTCACACCAAAATAATAGAAGATTTACTGTTATGCAATATTGTAATAATTGTATAAATAATATCACTGCATTAGTAAACTTACATTAGACCCCCAGTTGACGTGTATTGGATGCGTGATGTGATTTGTTTACTCTTGAACTTCAGCAAAAATTTAACATTTCCGCTACTTTGAGCTTAATTTCAAGCTATTTTGAGTACTAAAACCAATCAAAATCATCTCTTATTCTGTAATATATGCATCCAGTTTAAGCAACCTCCCCCTGCTATGTAAACTAAATTAAATTAACACAATACCAGAGAAATTATTATTGACTTCATGCGCATCAAGAAAGATAAATACAGCATGCTTTTATATGAATTTTAACTTGAGCATCTACTAATGAAAGGCATCTTTCTCCACTACTTGTACTGTGCAGTATGATCTTTGTAACTAGGAAACACCCAAACTTGTGGGCCAACAGCCCTATCATTCCTGTTGATAATGGTCCTTAGTCATCTTAATAAAATTAAAAGGGTTTATAGATCTGAGGTGGATAAAATGTGATGTAGTTGTCAGTTTAAGTGCTAGAAAGATGTGAAAGAAGAAAGAGGATTGAGAGGCAAAGGTTAAACATCCAACTGATATGTGAATGTGTTTAAATTGGATAGAGTGGTCTTAGTTGATGTAGTCTTTGGAGCTGGAACACTGAAGGGATTCATGGAAATCTTATTGAGTCTTGGAGGCAAGAATTATAATACCCGCAGTTGTAAAACAAAGTGAGGATGTTGTGATAGTGGGTTATTATTGGAGAAAGTTGTCTCTGCTGTTCTGGAAAAGCAACTAGGGATCACAGGATGGTGACTGATGTTTCTTCGTTGGGCCTCCCTGCATCAAAAGGAAATGGTCAGTGTATAAAACAAATGCTAAATACTCTCGCGCATACATGTGCTAATGCATGCATGCATGTGTGTGTGTGTTTTCTCTCATACTGGCTGTTTCCCACCACGGTAGGGTGACCCAAAAAAGAAGAAAGTTTTTCTTATATTTAGCAATACATACAGGAGAAGGGGTTACTAGCCCCTTGCTTCTGGAATTTGTTGTCTCTATAATGTGTATACAGTAGGGCCCTGCTTTATGGCGTTTCACCTTACAGCATTCCACTAATATGGACATTTCAAATTATGACCAAAACTCTCTCTATGGCTTCCCCACCTGACTTTCTAATACAGTCACCGTGCCCCACCCAGTTTATTTACATTCTCCATGAGCACGACTCTCCATTATGTCTGGAAACTTTCCAAAATTTCAAGTGTTTTAAAGTTATATTTCATATTTTATATATACTCTGATAATTATACTTTTGTGTACCTGTATCTAAATAAACTTAACACACTGTGCTGGCATGCAGGTACAAGTTAAAACCACTAAGAGTTGTCTTCTTAGTCTTCAAGATGCCATATTATTAATGATAACACACATTAATAATCACTGAGGCGCATTAAATGTCATATATTACATTAATATAAACATTTTAATTAATCCATCTGTGATATTTTTTGTCAAAATTATGTAATAAACATGCTAGGTAACATATAAACATGATAAATACACCTCACAGTAGAATAAATTAACATAAATATGAAATATTTTTCCATTCTTGTCAGAAAGACTAACATTTTCTCTAGTTCAACACCAAAGAAAATGTGTACACAGTAGTATTAATGGGGTATCCATAGAAAACTATTCCTATCATATGCCTTCACTCAGAGCATTATTCCTTCTTAAAATGGTGTGTTACATGAGAACGGGAGTGTTGCTCTTTTATTTATTCTTCTTTACCGTGGAGACAACTTGTACACAATGTAAGGTGTTTATATTATGGTATAAGATTCACAGACATGGGAACGAACGTGTATCAACGAAAAACAGACTCATTCGTCTGTTTGTTTACATACTCTGCGGCTCTGTCCTCTCTCATTTACTCGTTCTCTCTCTCTCATTTATTTGTTTTTATATCATTTACTCAAACCCTGCATGAAGACTACAAATATTTTAAGGTAAGTAATGAGTGTACTGTACATTGCTCTAGGGCACTTTAAATGTCATAGTATATTACGTTTGGGTGAGGTGGCCTGGCAGGCTACCATACCTCCCACACCTGACTTCTTACAGTACTACTCCCCTCACCCTACATTAAGACTACAAATATTTTGAGGTAAGTAATGAGTATACTGTGTGTGTATTTTGGTTTTTTAATGTTTTTAATGCCTAGTTCTATTGCTAACTTAATATATGTTAGTGTAAACTTGTTATCTGGCATTTATAAGTGGAAAAAATGGTGTTCTGCTTTCCAGCGGTAGCCGGGAACGTAACCTGCCATATAAGTGGGGCCCTACTGTATTTTATGAATATTTTAGGTAATTTTTTCCAATTTTTTTATGAATTACTGCATATAATAGACCTGATTATAGTTATTTTGTTATTACAGATGAAGACCCTCTCAGTTGACATGAATGCAATTGAATCATTCATTGGTCTTCTTACAATGGCTCAGAATGCTCGGGATGGAAAATTTATACCATAAAATGTATGTTTACTGTAATGTGAAGAGTTTGGCTGTCTTCAAGATGAATGGGTTGTAAACCAAATTTTTTGTGTATTGAATAACTAGGTGTTTAATTATACTCGCTAATTATTATTATTATAATCAAAAAGATATACTTGCTAATAAAATAATTTATATTGGAAAATTATGCAAAAGTAAATTAGTACAGTATAATAGTTTTGTATGATTTTTTCCTTTTATATAATTTTTCAACTTCACATAAGGGAAATGGCATAATAATAATAATTTTCTTATATTTTTTTAATAATTTTCAATACTTGTAAAAGAAAAAAAAATAAACCAAAATATTTTGGGCTATTAGTAGTGAAGGAGCCAAGGCAAATTATGTTTAATAATGCAGAAGGAAAGTAGAAGAGGAGAGTAGCAACAAACTTGAGCTTTAATTGTGGTATCACTTCTCACATCCACTGTTTTACCCTATCAGTGTATACAGCTGTAGCCCGAGAAAGAATGAGTGAGTGTTCAAGAGAGAGCATAAGGTTGTGGTAGGAAGGCATGGAAATGGGGAGAAGCAAACTTGAATCATTAGAGCTTCCCAAGGAGAGAAGAACTGCAGATGCAGGGTGAACATGAAGAACTGATAAATTAAGGAATGTCATTGGAGTACAACTACAAAGAGGAAAGGGTACAGCAAGTGGAGACAACAATGAAATAAGTTTCATTTATTATAACAACGAAATAAACCAGGCTTACTATTAACCACAAAAAGGACAAAATAGCTGAAACAACAGGTTTCACATTGTTCATCCAAAGAGGGGACACATGCCTCTGTATACAGGCTCTCATCCAGGGAAGAACAAAAAGGTCCAAAGAACATGATAAATGGGCTCATGTTTAGAGAATAGTAGCAAGCAAGGGAGGCTGAAGATCAAAGTTGATCTCTGTAGTCTAGTTCAGATAAGATTTGGGATGAACATATTGAAGCAAGGCTCATCTCATCTGCCTCCCCCAAGAAAAGTTTTAAGCAAATTTAGGCAGCCATGATAGGCAACTTTTGATGAGGTTGCATTATAAGCATTGTCAGATAATAATAAAAAACAAGCACTAAACCCATTAAGGTTATACAGCTCTGCAGGGCAGAGGGTGTTGCTGAAGCAGAGAGGAGCCAGAGGTGCAGAGGCTAACAGAGGTAGAGTTACAAAGGGTTGTGAGGAATATTAGGGCTGTGAGGAGCACTAAAAGAACTACAATGGTACCTTGACTTACGAGTGCCCCATTACAAGTTTTCCGAGTTATGAGCTGTCGCTCGGTCAATTTTTTGCTTCAAGTTGCAAGCCAAAATCCAAGTTAGGAGCGAGCTTCAGATACATCACCACTCGCAGGACATATGGAGGAAATATCAAAAACCTTAATAATAACCAATGTGTAACATCCTTTCAATTTTGATACCACTGGTAGTGTCATCCTGCCAAAATGTTCTATAACGTATGCCTTAAAAAAAGAGAAACAATTCTGGAACACATGTAATACATGTTCAGCTGGTTGGGTGGCCAGCTGGCTGGCTGATTTGCTTTGGCTATCTCTATCTCCTTCTGTCTGTGTTATAAGTCAAGGTACCACTGTATTATCAAAGTTTGTGCAATAAATCAGTTGCTGTCAAGAAGTCAGAGAATGCCTGAGTAAATATAGAAAGTTAATACGAGTTGTGATCCATTATAGAAGTTGTGGGATCTTGCTTAGTTTCTCAGCATAATGAAAAAAATTTTCATATAAATGCAGACCTTATCAGTGTCCATGAGTTTTTTAAGTACACTTCCAGTTATAAGGCCTCGTGGGAGTCTTTGTTTACACAGAGCACGATGCTGTTCATGTGTGAATGTATGATAGGTGGCACCACCACTCACATTCCCTCCTCCACTAGCATTACATGCATCACTATAACTGTCATCACCAACACCACTACCAACATTGTTTTCATGACATTTATCAACAGTATTGTATTCAACATTAATGTCAATGTGGTTAACCTCATTACACTCATCGCTAACATTATCACTATTACTAACATTATAGACACCACTGCCCTTATCACTATTACTAACATCATAGACAGTCTACCACTGCCCTCAGCATGATGCTCACTGATGTGTTTATGGTGAAAACATTGATGTCACTCTTAGCAAGTGCCCAGCAAGTATTTGTGGCATCACCACATGGGAGCACTATGAACTGCTTAGAGGGCTGTTCTACAGGCGGTTTGTTGAGGATAGCTTGTGCCTTGAGTCTGTAATTTTGGGTGAAGAAAGATGGAAACCGAAGACATAAAGGCTTGTGTTATGTAAATACATTCTTCAAGAAAACAAGGGCTGGAGATGCAAAGAGCTCTCAAGAAGCCAATGAGGACTCCTCTTTTAGTGTGGGTGTCTTCGTGTGAATAGAAGTGTACAAGGTTGTCCTTGTTGGTAGGTTTTCTACACACTTTGAAGAGAAGTTTGTTACTGCCAGGAGATCTGCACAGGAGGACGTTGAGGAAAGTAAGTTTGCCATCTTTTTTGAGTTCAATTGTAAACTTTATTGATGGCTTGGCAGCATCAATCTTGTCGATTAGGGCCTGGATATCAAGACGTCTCGGATAGAAAACCAACATATCATTAACATATCTTAGCCAGGTAACAATGTTGGGAATGAGGGTGCTGAATTTCTCTGTCTCTAGGTTTTCCCATGAAGATAATTATAATCTCAGTTGTACTATAGCTCATTCTAGCTCAATACATAGACTATACCAAAGTCATTACAAGTAAGAGTCTTGTGCTATATTTAATTTGTTTTTTTATATTATTAGTTTATACCTAGTTATACTTTAGCTCATTCCAGCACAACACATAGACAACACCAACTCCATTATGTGTATTAGTGACTATACTCTACATGACCAAAATGCTATAGCTATATACTTGTCCAAACTTCCCACCACTACAGATATCAGTACTAAAACTCAACACACAACTCAGGATATAAATAACCATAATTTAAACCTAGAAGATGATTGATCACGTTGACCCTGATCTAAACCTCCATAATCTGACACACAACCAAAACCTATTGGAAAGTAACTGCCTTTACTACACAGCATCACAAGCCAGCACTATCCTAAACAATGCTAAAAGTCTATCAGTACTTAACTACAACATCAGGTCCTTAAGCAAACACTATGATGACCTCCTGGCACTCCTTGAATCACTAAAGACACCCTTCTCCTGTATTATTCTTACTGAGACCTGGCTTAAGCAGGACACAATAGATATCTACCCTCTACCAGGATACACAGCAATCCACAACTGCAGACCATACCAAGTTGGGGGTGGTATTGCAATCTATTACTCTAACCAATTATCTTGTATTAGCACCACTTGCTTTAGTGATGAATATGGAGAATACATTTTTGCTAATTTTACTGTAAAAAACTTTAAGATGCCTATAACAATCGGTGCCATTTACCGGATACCCCACACAAACATCCCAAATTTCAGTGAGAAATTAAAGGTACTAATAACAAACAGACAAATGAATAAGCACCACCTTCTCTTAGCTGGAGACTTCAACATCAACCTTGGCCTACTAGATGATCAGCCTGTAACTGATTTCATCAACCATATGAACAACACACTTCTCATACCAACAATAACTAAACCAACCAGGCTCACTGAAACAAGTGCAACCATAATAGACCACATATGGACCAATATACTAGCCCCCCTTAAATCAGGGATAATCACAGATAGCACTACAGACCACTACCCTACCTTCCTCTTGACAAACATTAGTAAACCACCACTTGAATACAACAAAGTTTCATTTAGACTCCATGATGAGGCCTCTATAAGGAAGTTCACACCTGACCTAGAGACTGTTGACTGGCCTACAGAATTCTCCAAGGCCAATGGTATTGATGACTGGACAGACATTTTTCTTAACAAATTACTTAGACTATACAACAAACATTCGCCGAGCTCTCAGTAGTAGTACCAGTTCCTAGTAACCAGTTACCAGTAACCAGTGTACCAGTAGATGACTCACTACCAACCGTCTGTGTGAATCATTGACTGTATTCATATTGCTGCTGACCATAGCAGGATTTCAAACACCCTCGCACTGTAGACACTTGTGAGTCAGTCGTAGTTAGGCAGAGAGAGAGACAGGTCGGCTGTTGGCGCTTTCCATACTTCCCGTTATATATTATACGTACTACCAGCCTACGTGAGTATTCTTACCCCATCCATGTATCGAAAACCCACATGACACAAACATTGTCCTATAAAAACAAAACAGATCACAAACAAACGGCTTGGTTGCCCATGGCTAACCAGCACCATTCTGAAATCCATTGATAAGAAACACCAATATGAAAAGCAATATACCTGGAGTTTACCTGGAGAGAGTTCCGGGGGTCAATGCCCCCGTGGCCCGGTCTGTGACCAGGCCTCCTGGTGGATCAGAGCCTGATCAACCAGGCTGTTGCTGCTGGCTGCATGCAAACCAACGTACGAGCCACAGCCCGGCTGGTCAGGAACCTGACTTTAGGTGCTTGTCCAGTGCCAGCTTGAAGACTGCCAGGGGTCTGTTGGTAATCCCCCATATGTATGCTGGGAGGCAGTTGAACAGTCTCGGGGCCCCTGACACTTATTGTATGGTCTCTTAACGTGCTAGTGACACCCCTGCTTTTCATTGGGGGGATGTTGCATCGTCTGCCAAGTCTTTTACTTTCGTAGTGAGTGATTTTCGTGTGCAAGTTCGGTACTAGTCCCTCTAGGATTTTCCAGGTGTATATAATCATGTATCTCTCCCGCCTGCGTTCCAGGGAATACAGGTTTAGGAACCTCAAGCGCTCCCAGTAATTTAGGTGTTTTATCTCCGTTATGCGCGCCGTGAAGGTTCTCTGTACATTTTCTAGGTCAGCCTTTTCACCTGCCTTGAAAGGTGCTGTTAGTGTGCAGCAATATTCCAGCCTAGATAGAACAAGTGACCTGAAGAGTGTCATCACAAGGCCTAATACACAAAGATATTCTTAAACACTATTCATCAGTCCTCACCTAAGTAATAAAGAAAGCCAAACAACTATACTACTCCAGTAGATTCACTAACACAAGAGGAGATATAAAAAGGACCTGGAAAACACTCTCTCAGAATATTGTCCTAACTAAAACCTACTGAAACA